CCTAGACCTACGACGGACTCCAAAGGCCACAACCCAATACTCATCTGCATCTAGATGGAAACAGGGGGGAAAGGGGACCTAGACCTATGACAAGGTAAAAGGAAAAGGCCGAAAGGCCTAAGGCTACCAAATAGAGACTAGTAGTGACAAACTTAGGGATGGGATAAAGTCCGCAAGGCTCAAAACAAGAAAACAAACTACAAAGCCAAACACTTAGTGTACAGCCCCACTGGGAAACTGCGATTTATTGCACTATTCTATTCTGTTTTGTTCTATTCTATTCTAAGAAAAACAAAAAAGGCAAAGTTTTTAATCTGATAGCACTGTTCAACCGAAATCTTCGGATTGAGTTCAGTCAATTTCAATTCTCAGGTTGCCTGGACAGGTGGAAAAAAAAAGGACGGAAAAAAAAAAATTACCTGAAGAGGCTACCGGCGGTTTAACAGGTCGTACAGACCGCCAAAATTTTCGTTTTGCCCTGTATTTGAAAGCTCAGAGATTTCCTTGCAAACACAGAAAAAAAAAAACGGAATTGTAGAACAAATTGTTTCTCAGAAATAGTGATATACCTTCAGTCTTGCAGGCCGTCGGATCTTCAAGCATGATCAATGCCGCCGAGATGAAGACCAGAGGTACAACAAATGCAGACAACAATAGGAACACAAATAATCGCCGGTACGACCAGGTGGAATGCACCTTTAGCCGTACGGAGTCGGAGTGTCGAAGGGAAGAGGAGATGGTGATGCGGCGCATGCCAGGAGATATGTAGAGCCTCATAGTATTATATTATATAAATTTATATTATTGTATATAAACGTGTAAAGAAACCCACCCAAAAAATAAAGAAGAGAAGCCCCCCCCCCCCTCCCCAAGAAACGAAAGGAAATTTAATCCTTACAAAAACCACCCCCCCCTGTGGCTTCTCCTCAACCTACTCTGCCCAATCTACCTTGCCCCACCTGGCCGATGTAACTTCACCTCCCTCTTCCGCCACCACCTCCACCACCTCCTCCTCCTCCTCCTCCTCCTCCTATGTCTACTCCTTCCGGGCAATTGCGCCTATGACTTCTCTCTCTTCATCCTTCGGAAGGCCTCTGCATCACCTATTTCTTCCTCTTATCACCATAAAGTCTACTTCCCTTCCTCGTGTCGAGATCTTCTGCCACGAGTTCCTCTCTCTCTCTCTCTCTCTCTCTCTCTCTCTCTCTCTCTCTCTCTCTCTCTCTCTCTCTCTCTCTCTCTCAATTTATCTCTCTTACCCCTTGCGTACGAAAAAGATTGGTAATGCACGCTGTTCCTTCGGCTGGGGAAACCGGTCAAGTGCAGACTCGTGTGATTGATTCTCATGGAGTGGTAAACTAACTAACCCATAAGCCTTTCGGAGGGGGAGGGAGGATTTTTTGGAAAATCATCAACCACTTGTCATGCCAGAAATGGTGGAGTGTCAGAAAAGAGCGTGCAGTCTTGTGCAATACAAAAAAAATGATAGATATATATACATATGTACCAATACTGTGACTGGCACTTAATATATACATACGCTGCTGCTCTTTCATGATATCCACGAACCTGCACCAGACAGAAACCCGGGACAAAAGACAAGGGGGGGGGGGAAAGAGCAAACAGAAAGGGAAAAGAAACAGATTCCAAGGTCAGACCCAAGATCTACACACACTCATTTTTAAACAAAAAACAGAAGAACATGAACAAACAAACAGTGGTCAAACTACGTTCGGTACCAGATGCTTCTCAAGCTTTCCATAACAAATTGAAATCTGATCTGTGTTCAGCTTTAACAGGCTAATACGCATGTACAACTCCCAGGGCATACTCACACTACAGCTTTTTTACATATGCCTGGACGGGATTGCGGCCATAATACTGCCATATACATCCAGGTATGGCCGTGAATGCTGTCAGGTACATTTGAGATACTGCTAGTGTGCGTGTGCACTCAGTAACACGTACATTCCGCTACGCATGTTTCAGCCAGGTGCACAGCTCGCACTCCTCGCGGGGGGTTCTCTCCTCGTACCAGCCTTGCGGCTACACCAACCTGTCCACAAACTGAGGTGATGAGAGGGAGAATGGATACACATTGTACATATATATATATATATATATTTTTAACGAGATATATCGACAAACAACTCTGTTTGACTATATACCGTCAAACAGAACTGCCCGGTAAACCGTAGGCAGAGAGGGAGAAGAGGACAACAAACGAGGGGCTGTGACAAACTGTTTCGTCGGAGTTTCACCGACTCATCAGGAGGCTGAACCCTCAACAGTCTGCAGAATCCCC